GGAGAAGCACACGTTTTTGCGTCAGCGCATTCAGGCCCGCTTGGCCTCCATGTACGTATTCCCATCGATGATGACCTTAATGATGTCGATTGGTGTAGCCTCTTTGAGCAAGCCAAGTACCAGACGGCGCTCGACCTCATCACGGACCTTCTTCGCGAAATCAAAAAGCTCGACGACAAGCAGCTCCTGGTCGAAATCCACTTGGTCGAGTCGAAGCTCTTCCACGCGCTTCGGAATGTGCCCAAGGCCAAGGCGGCGCTCACGGCCGCGCGCTCGATCGCCAACTCGATCTACATCGTGCCCAAGATGCAGGCCAACATCGACCACATGTCGGGTATCCTCCACGCCGAGGAGCGCGACTACAAGACCGCGTACTCGTATTTCTTTGAAGCGTTTGAAGCGCTCGCACCCATCGACAAGACGGAGGCGCTCGCGTGCCTCAAGTACATGCTCCTGAGCAAGATCGCCAACGGGCACTCGGCCGACGTGCCTGTCATCGTCAACGGCAAGAACGCGATCAAGTTTTCCGGCATCGACGTCGAGGCGCTCAAGGCCATCGCCAAGGCGCACGACAAGCGGTCGCTCGAGCTCTTCCAGGCGGCGACGGCGCAGTACGCTGCCCGTACGTCGCACTCTGCTTTGGGGCAACGCGGCGTTATCAACGCTACCATGTGTGTCTGTAGAGCTCGTGCAGGACCCGTTGATCAAGCACCATTTGGGCTTGCTCTACGAGAACCTCCTCGAGTCCAACTTGATCAAGATCATCCAGCCGTATTCGTGCGTCGAGATTAGCCACGTTGCGACCTTGATCAAGCTGCCGCTGCCGCAAGTCGAAACCAAGTAGGAAGTAACGCGTCGAGTCGCTTGTTGGTTAAGCACGCGTAGGCTGTCGCAGATGATTTTGGACCACAAGTTCCACGGCATCTTGGACCAAGGCCGGGGGCAGCTCATTGTGTACGAGAGCGCGACCGAAGACGTACGTAGCCTCCCATCCACACCTGCTGTGCTACTGTTTGCCATAGAAAACGTATGCGGCGGGCCTCGGCGTCATCCAAAACGTCGGCAACGTTGTTGGCACGCTGTTCCGCCGGGCCGACAAGCTCTCGTTGTAGGTCAATAAGGACAACGACGACGACGTGGACTGCGTTATCTTAACACCAATGATTTCGACGTCATGCTGCATCCTCCTCTACAATGCCGGCAAGGACACGGACGACGACGCGAGCGGCGGCTCGGTTTGACCGTGGACGCCAGCATCTTCCGTGACAAAATCGTCGATCACTGCGCCGTCGTCGTGGTGCATGTCCCTAGCACACATTGTGTAGAGGAGCATGATGGGCGAAGACGGCGCGCACCGGAAGGCATCCGACATGATGTTGATGGTCGAGTGGCGGTTCGGGATGCGAAAGCCACCGCGGTAGACGTACGGTGCGCTGGAATGCGGTGATTGAATCATCCGCCGCGCGTCAGCGTCAAGGACGGGGCTCTCGGCGCGGACTCCGAAGCCCGTCGCGGCGCTTGAGTCGCGCCGCTTGTTGAACGGACTGGTTGTACTTTGACTCTCGGTCGTGGGTCGACCGCCCGCCGTCGTTGACGGTCGTGCTTGGCTTTGGAGCCGAACAGTCTCGAGGAAATGCCCTACCACAGCCCATCAGGCTTCATGCTGTCAACAACCACGACGACACACCGTCGCCTTGGGGTTGATGGTTGTCTTCGGGTGCGACGCTGCCACCGCTGAGCGTCCGCCGGCTGATCGCGCCACCCAGCATATTGGCGAGCTACGCAGGACGCCCATGTCGTCATTGACGGCGGTGGGGAGTGGAGTCACGTACGGTGTGCATGAAGACCTCGCGCCGTTCGATCGAGCCTTTATCAAACTGCTCGCCCGTGTTCTTGTTGTTGGACACTTTGGCCAGCATGCGCGTGTTAAGCTTCTCGACGATGTCGAGCTGGAGGCGGACCATCTTGGCATCGAGTTCGGTTTGGCCGCGAATCTAGAGCCCGAGAGATCCAACCAACAGCAAGCATCTCGAGTCGTTGCACCTCCTTGTTACTGGCGACTTTGAGCACTTCGTACTCGGCCTTGGCGCACACGAGGTCGGCAAAGAACTGGGCGTTCTTGATGAGGAAATTCTGCTGCCGCTCGGAAAACTGCTTGCGGTTCGTGCCATTGTTGTCGGCGCGGCTCGTGGTCGCCGCCACCTAGGACATAATAGTACGGTCGAGACGCCGCGTCGTCGTCGTAGGGTGCTACCTTGCCTTCTTGGCGCGCAGAGATCTCAAACTTCCAGCACTCGGCGACGAACGCGTCGCAGAGCATGTCGAGCTCCTTGTTGAGCGTTGTGATCGTCATGTTGCGCGTGCTGGCTTTGGCAACCATCTCGGCAAACTTGGTTTGCTTCTCGGTAAACGCCG